ACCACCTCTAATATGCAACCATTCAGAGCAAAACCACGATTCAAAAACAAAACGTTGGGTAAGTCCATTCAAGGGAGGCACACAACCGTTCCAGGCAAAAAAACAGCACTCAACGACAAAACATCGGGTAAGGCCATTCAAGGGAGACACCCTAAATACTGGATGACTGCACTGGATCGTCGGCCTCCCTAAATACTGGATGACTGCACTGGATCGTTGGCCTCTCGGCCTCCCCTGAATGGGCTTTTGCAACGTTATGTTTTACTCCCTATCACCCGGCACCTGGTGCTTCGTCTCGAAGACTTTGTCAGGGATGTGCAACCAGAGCGTGCGACGATCTAGTGCTTGTTGATGGTTCACATCGAAATACTCTGGAGGCCAAAATTGACCTATGTGATGATTTGTTGTGAATATCCTCGGCACAGCACTGGGAATGTGACCGTCTTGATTCCTAGCTCGAACGTCTCGAGGGTGGGCAATGTCGGTCCAAGCTTTCGCGTCGTCGATGTCAATGTTGCGGAAGGTGCATTCATCAACCAGTAGTCCTTGTCCACCATTGATGGTGATCTTCCTGATTTGGTCCAATTTTGACAGGAAATGTACCCCAGCAGGGCACAAGCTCAAGAGGATGCTGAGGGCCATTTCTGTTTTCCCGGTTCCGGGCGGGCCTTGCAAAATCAAAGCAACTTTGGAGTAACCGGTTTGCATCCACTCTTGCACAGGCGGTGGCAAAACAAATTGGGTCAACGCAAATGTGGGTGTGGACACCAGAGTTGTAGCGCCCAACGTTTCTGGACGGTGCCACGCACCCAAGATCTTCTGTAACTCTGCGTTGGCATCTCGCAAGGACCCCAAATGGTTCCAAATCAATGGATTGCCGGCCTTTTTCTCCTCTTTGGCTTCCTGGCTGCAGGATGGGGTGCCAAAAAATAGAAACTTCGATATTTTGTGAAACTTTGGGCCAGAATGAAACAAGTGTCAGCCGATTACAGCAATGGCAAGGTTAGGCTGCTTTTATTGCAGAAAGTAGTCCTTGCATGATACAGAGACTCCAAAATCCGTGATAAAGACACTTGAGTGCCGCAAATCCAGCCTGCCAAAGTGCGCCCACAGCACGGATACCGCGCTCAACGACAAAGTCCGTCAGCTCACTGAAAGTCATCTGTTTGCGGCGCTTGGGCTCAGGTTCTTTGCGCTGCTGCACGCCATCATTTTGGCGTCGACCTGACATCTGCAAAGACATCTGACCAAGCTCAGCTTCGGCTCTTTGCCATGTGTATGCTGCGGGGTAAAAAACCATTTGACGATCCAAGTCCTGGGCCGGCTTCTGTGCACTCTCGCTCATCAAATAATCCAAGTAGGCCACCCAGCCCGCTCGGTGAAAGGTAAAAAACCCGTGGGCGCCAAATTGCTCACCCAACATCTTGCAGACACTAGCATGTACGAAAGGTTGTCGAAACAAGAAAATCAAATGTTTGTGCCTTTCTCTTGCGTTCCCATCTGCTTGGTAATGCTTGTGCGGCTCGTCTGCCACTGCTGCCTTAACGAGGTTGTGGAGATAGCCCTTGCGACGTAGCACAGTTTTGAAAGTTTCCAAGAAGTCTTCTCGAGAAACATCAGCAGGCTTGAGGACTCTCGCGGATTGGCGCTCTGACAACTCTGCATGAAAATGGCGTGGACACGGCCATGTGAACATCCCTGCCCGTGCCCGAGCTTTCGCTGAGGCGACTTCAGCTTCGGAGGATGTCTCAGAGTTCTCCAGGGTCACACATGGTTTATCCTCTTCAGAGGAACCAGAGCTGCCAGAGCCGGAGTTAGAAGAGCTTGACATGGCCCCAAAAAGCGGCGAGGTTGATGCCACATGTCCATTGTAAAATCACCTAGCACTCTCCCTCCTGCATGTGAAACCTAAGAATCACCAAATACTGCGCCTGCCACAAAAAACTGAACTAGAGGTTCACTAAATACTGCGCTTGCCACGAAAAATCGAACTACAGGTTCTCCAAATACTGCGCCTGCCACAAAAAATCGAACTAGAGGTTCACCAAATACTGCGCCTGCCACGAAAAATGGAACCCACTTGCAACACCTCCTAAGCGAAAACGCAAATCATAACGTTGGAATCCAACGTTACGATCCGTTTTCGGCGAGAGTTCCACGAAAAACATAAAATCATAACGTTGGAACGCGTTTCAAAGAGAATTAACAATATTTCCTTTTTTGCCGCGATCCAACGTTACGATTTTAGGTTTTTTGCGAAGCTGTCGCCAGAAATTGAAGGTAACGTTGGAATCCAACGTTACGATTTAGCGTTTCCCCACACGTTTGGCAACCTGGAGCTTCAGATTCCTTGCGCCCGCCACAAAACATGGACCTAGAAGTTCACCAAATACTGCGCCTGCCACAAAAAATGGAACTTGAGGTTGTCCAAATATCACGCCTGCCACGAAAAAATGAACTAGAGGTTCACCAAATATTGCCCTTGCCACGAACAATCGAA